ATACCTCCCTCCATGTGGAGTGAATCCCATCCCCTCTTGTGTCTTCCTGAGTTTCACACCTACACTATCACTTCTCTCTCTTACATCATCATCATGATCATCTCTCTCTAGCTCTCTGTCTCTTTCTCTCTATATAAATCAGGTTAACACACAGCATTTCAGTAGACTGAATGGTTAATGCTATCCATTAGTATGCAGAATTCTTCAGTAGCAAAAAGACCATTAAAATTACATGTTCTACATCAAAAGGAAATCTAATCTCACTCCAATTAATAAATTATAGATCTACTGTATTACAATCTGAGATACCTACGTATTCAGGAAAGTTGGAAACATAAACATATGAACAAAGCATACTTACATTGTTTTTAGGATCTTTCAAATTAAACATCAAACTTCTATATTTGTTCTTATATTTAGAATCTGTGTCCCGAAAAAAAGAGAAAAGTTCTTTCTCAATTTTTGTGGCAACTTTTGCTGCCTTTTCCTCTGGTACCTTCAAATTTGAGTCTGTAAGTCTTAAAATTAGAACAATTCAATTATTTTTCAAATATATAAAGCATAATTATTCAAACTTCTATAATAATAATATGTTACCTCTTCATAAGAATATCTTTGAGAGAATGTCTGACACTTTGCCTGATCTGATCTGCAGAAGGCTTGGAAGCAGAAGCAGCAGGAGGATGTACATTAAGCACTCCTTTTTCAACTTTCTTCTTTTTCATCTCTTGCTTCTCATGAGTACCTAATTTGAATAAATATCAAAACTTATTACATTGCTTTTAAAAATATCTTTCCTTTTTAATGCATAATATTATAAACAAAACTGATTAAAAGTCACTATTTAGAAATAAGATCAGGGCCGGGCGCAGTGGCTCAAGCCTGTAATCCCTAGCACTTTGGGAGGCCGAGGCAGGCGATCACGAGATCAGGAGAACGAGACCATCCTGGCTAACACGGTGAAAACCCCATCTCTTACTAAAAAACACAAAAAACTAGCCAGGCGAGGTGGCGGGCACCTGTAGTCCCAGCTACTCGGGAGGCTGAGGCAGGAGAATGGCGTAAATCTGGGAGGCGGAGCTTGCAGTGAGCTGAGATCTGGCCACTGCACTCTAGCCTGGGCGACAGAGCGGAGACTCCGTCTCAAAAAAAAAAAAAAAAAAAAAAAAAAAAAAAAAGAGAAATAATTATCAGAACCCATAGTCCCATACTGAAATATTCCTGACACTGAAATCCTAAAAATGACAATAGCTGACAAAAACTATTCTCACTCTTTCCTCAATTTAGACAATGGCTTTTAGAGCCAGTTATTTTTCCACATATATATTAATTAAATTTTAAATGCTATTTAGAAATCTTGATCTAAACTTATTAGGAGCAGATAATAACCTAATACCACAAAACTGATTAATCTCTTCTGGTTTTAATTGCATTTAATATTACTAATTTGAAGGCTAAGCTTTTCAAATTATTTTTATTCTATCATTACTAATTCCCACACATCTCCAAAATCTCAATGTCAAACATCCCACCACTCTGACTTACTATATTAGCACATTTATTCTAGAATCTCCTCATTCCAACAATTCTTAAATCTATAATTTTTACCATCTTCATGTATTCACTTTCATACATTATAAACTTAGGTTACATAGTCCAATACCATTACCAACCCCTTGTATACTTAATACCTTTATTCTCTCTCCTTTAAACATGTGTGTTGGCAAAAACCACAAGCCTGCTAAAAGCCAACTTTTATCCTTCACCCAAATAGGCAAAAGACAAGGGAGAAAAATAAGCACTGGTACTGACAAATGTCATTTTAAATTTATAACCACAAGTTTTAAGTAGGTAACTCAACTTTCTGCCCTAATCCTATTAACCTTTCCTAATAAATTTGCTCTCCCACTTTTTAAGGTATCTTTTTCATACTTTTTCTCCTCTCATCTCAAATCAACAATACCACCTTCTCAACTACAACCTCTTTGATTTGCTCTTCATATTTCACTGAAAAAATGGAAAAAATGTCAGCTATCACATTTTCCCATTACCAAATCCAACCTACCTACATTAGTTCTTCCTCCTACCACATACAATCTTCCCTACTATCCAATGGATGCACTTGACCTTTCTGATAAATACCTCCCTCCATGTGGAGTGAATCCCATCCCCTCTTGTGTCTTCCTGAGTTTCACACCTACACTATCACTTCTCTCTCTTACATCATCATCATCATCATCTCTCTCTAGCTCTCTGTCTCTTTCTCTCTACTGGATCATCCCATTAGTCTTACAAACATGATATAGTATCTTTTAAAAAACATTCACATCCACTTCTAGCAACTATAGCATTTGTTTCTTTAAACAGCAAAACTCTTTGAGAGAGTTATCTGTAATCAGTATCTCCAGTTCCTCACTCTTTCATTCACTCACAAGCCACTACAATTGGTTTTTTTCCCTACTGCTCCACCAAAATCATTCTAGTCAAGGTCACCAATGATTTCCATTTTGCTAAGTCATAGACTTAACAATCTTATGTTTATCTTATTAGATGTCCAGACAGCATCTGGTCGTTCCTTCCTTCTTGAAACTTCACCTGGCTTCCAGGCCACCAGTCTTAGTTCTCCTCTTTCCTCACAGGCCACCCATTAGTTTTCTTTGCTGTATAAACTCTTCTCTCCCCAGTTTTTAAATGCTGATGGCCAGGGTCAGTGGCTCATGCCTGTAATCCCAGCACTTTGAGAGGCCAAAGCAGGAAGATCACTTGAAGGCCAGGAGTTTGAGACCAGACTGGCCAACACAACGAAACACTATCTCTACAAAAAATCAAAAAAATTAGCTGGGTGTGGTGGTGCACACCTGTAGTCTCAGCCACTCAGGAGGCTAAGGCGAGAGGATAGCTCGAGCCCCGGAGTTCAAGGCTGTAGTGAGCTACTACTGCACTACTGTACTCAAGCCTGGGTGACAGAGTGAGACCCTGTCACAAAAATAAAGTAAAAATAAATGCTGGTGCTTCCCAAGGGCTCTGCTTCTGTCCCTTCATGATCAAACTCTCTTGTAGCTATTTACATCTAAGCCCAGGATTTTAAATAGGTTGAGTATGCCCTTATATGAAATGCTTGGGACCAGAGTATTTCCAATTTCGAGTTTTTTCAAATCCTGGAATATTTGCATTGTATTTACCAGTGGAGTATCCCAAATCAGAAAATCTGAAATCCATAATGCTCCAACAAGCACTGCCTTTGAGCATCATGCCGGCATTTCAAGTTTCAGATTTCAGATTTTCATATTTGAGATGTTTCACCTGTACTAACTTCTATGCACTAGTAAATCCCAAATTTATATACCAACCTCCAAAGTCGTCTAATAGACTCCAGACTCATCAGCCAAAGATTTACTCAAAACATTTCTACCTGGATGTCTAATAGGAATCTCACAATGGCCAAAACATAATTTTTCCATTTTCTTCCCAAAACCTTTTTCTTTCTCTTTTCTGACTCTATTTCCTTTACCAACCTATATCGAAGCCATCAGCAAGTTCTGTCAACTCTATTATAAAACATATGTGAATCTGACCACTACTCACTACCTTCATTGTATTTCCATTCCAAGTTACCATCATTTCTTTCCTAGGATATTGCTATGAACTAATCAGGTTACTGTCTTTCTCTCCTGCCCTCCTACAATCCAAACTGTACAGAGCAACCAGTGTTTTCCCTTGTACAAAACCCCCTAAAGGTTTCCCACAACATTTAGAACAAAATATAAACTCTTTGCCATAGTCCTAAAGGTCCCATGAGGTAGAATAAACCATCAGAGTACCTGCTACTCTTGTTCTAATTATAATCCACAAATAATTACTAGTAAAACTGGAATTCTGAGACCCTTGGGAGAAATTAATCACATCCTACTAATGTCACTGAAAGACAGGGAAAGGAAAACTATATAGACAAACATATACTCAGGTTTTAAAATAGGGTACAATCAATAATTTTCTCTGAACTCATCTAACACTGTTCTATCCCTTATGTATTACCTTTTAATCACTCCATAGTGGCTTTCTTCCTCCTCAAACACCAAGCTTGTTTCTACCACAAAGCCTTAAGATTTGATGTGTCCCTTACCTTGTACCTCCTCCAAAAATCTTTGCATCCCTTCAAATCCCACCTCACAAGTTACTTCCTCCACTCCATGTAAAACAGAAGTCCCATTACTCTTCCCACCTGTGACTATCTATTCCATTACTCCACTTTTTCTTCACAAGCTATAAAATAACATGTAATTTTCTTACTTGCAAACTTACTGCCTTCTTCCATTAGTATTTAAGTGCCATGAGAACAGGGGTCTTATCTTGATTTCACTAGTGCTTCCCCAGAATTTAGAGCAAGTTTTTAATTACAAGTAACGCCAATCACCTAACCCATTTTTACTGCCATTAAAATGTTCAATTTGTAGAAATTCCCTAAGTATACTAATTAATTGTATATTAAATAGGATATAAATATATTAGTATATAATTATTTCTGTTCATCTCACTACCTGGTTTTGAAGCTTTTTCTCCTGTGCAAGTAACAGTTGTAGACTCTTTTGGTATTTTTTCACTTTTTTCCTCTGAGGATCTCCGAGGTAAAACTGGTTGTCCCATCTTACGAAGAGGAGCTAGCTGCCATTTTTTAATTTCATTATCTCTACAGTCTGATGAATTTCTGCCTTCACCAGACTCCTGGAAAAATAGTACATTAGAATGAAAATAACTAAACAATCTTTGTTTTTTAAGACATACAAAAATAACTCGATTATTAGTAAAATGAGATTCACTCTTTCATTCGAAATTTATTCTGCACCTATTTTGTGTAGAATACATTATAGTTTATAAAGGAGAAACAAAGGACATAAAGATTATGCTTTCAATACCATTAGTAGAAAGAAAATTAAAAACTAAGGTAGTAAGAATTCTCTTATTTAGCTCTGGATATGGAAAAAGGAGAAGGAAATTGTGAAGAAACAAGTGTCTACATTCTAAAACAAATGAAATTACGTTCACTTATATACTAGTAAGTGTATCAATTAAGTTCTCAGTGTGCCTATTGGCAATTTTAATTCCCATGAGGTAGAATAAACCATCAGAGTACCTGCTACTCTGGTTCTAATTATAATCCACAAAGAGTTACTAGTAAAACTGGAATTCTGAGACCCTTGGAAGAAATTAATCTACTAATGTTCCTGAAAGACAGGGAGAAGAACGCTATACAGTCAGACATATACACAGGTTTTAAAATAGGGTACAATCAAAATAGTGCTTTTCTCTAGACTAAGAATCCTCTAATTTTTTAATTTGTCTAAAATTAGACAAATTTATTTGCAAATAAAAAATTTTTTTATTTGCAACTAGACACTGAGAGCAGGAATATACTTCAATATTTATACACCTAAGGCAGGTAGTGCTATGCCACACAACAGAAACTCAATAAATAGTTCAACATAAAAATCTAGGGATAAGAAAAGCAGATTCCATAAACTAACATCAGACAAGTCCAAATAAGAGTCAACAGTTCTCTCATCAAAAAGGAAGCAGTGGGTCGGGCGCGGTGGCTCATGCCTGTAATCCCAGCACTTTGAGAGGCCGAGGCGGGCAGATCACAAGGTCAGGAGATCGAGACCATCCTGGCTAACATGTTGAAACCCTGTCTCTACTAAAAAATACAAAAAAAAATTAGTCGGGCGTGGTGGCAGACACCTGCAGTCCCAGCTTACTGGGGAGGTTGAGGCAGGAGAATGGCGTCAACCCGGGAGGTGGAGCTTGCAGCGAGCCGAAATTGCGCCACTGCACCCCAGCCTGGGCGACAGAGCGAGACTCCGTCTCAAAAAAAAAAAAAAAGGAGACAGTGATCATTTGTATGGTGCACGCATTTACAAAATCAGACTCACCTCAGATTCTTTTCTGGTACAGACTGGATAAAGAGGTTCTCAAAATATTAAAACTGTTAATGTTTTATGATGTCTTATTTATTTATGAGACAGAGTTTCACTCTTTTGCCCAGGCTGGAATAAAGTGGCACAATCCCGGCTCACTGCAACCTCCGTCCCCCGGGTTCAAGCAATTCTCCTGCCTCAGCCTCCCAAGCAGCTGGAATTACAGGCATGCACCACCACGCTCGGCTAATTTTTGTATTTTCAGTAGAGACGGGGTTTCACCATGTTGGCCAGGCTGGTCTCAAACTCCTGGCCTCAGGTGATCCACCCACTTCGGCCTCCCAAAGTGCTAGGATTACAGGTGTGAGCCACCACACCCAGACTTTATGACGTCTCTTTAAGCAAGACAGAGACAACTCAGTTATGGCCAATACAATGAGCTATATTTCTCACTGTATTACATACATACATGGCCAAGAAGTTGTACATAAGAGGTGATTATTAATACTAGTTAATAACAGAAGTTTTCCAAATACATGCTATAAACTGTTCTCATTGTGGCTCTCAGATCCATATTATCAATTACTTTAAGGATCAAATCAACAAAATAACAACACGTATCAGAAGGACAGCATCTGATTCTCAAAAAGTCTTGACAGAAAAAAAATATTAGATGCCACAAGAATGTAGCAAACTAGAACTTAATCCAGATTTGGCATACAAGGAGTGCCTGAAAGAAATGGATTTGTAAATAATAGGTAAGATACTGCAGAACACATCCTCATGCTCTTCAACCTAAATTAACTTCCATATCATGTTGTAGAGAAATTAGTTTTAATAAGGAGGCTTCAATTCAGGGATGTAAATTTCAGCTCAAACTGATGAACTTTCTAACAATTAGATGCTTAAAAATGAAGATGTATCCCCTTGCAAAGGATTTCAAACAGAAACTAGATCATCACTTCCTAGAAATGTTGTAGGGCATATTAATAAATCAAAATGGTTGGACTAAAAGATTTCCAAAGTTCCAACTATAAAATTCATGTTCTTTGTGTTTTGGATTATAATTGCCTAACCACATACATGTGTTGCCACTGTGTTTCCTCTCTACTAGCAGTATTCTATAAGAGTAACAAATTAATGATTAAAAAAGTGATAGGTAATAAAAAGGTAGACAATGAGGAAAGAAAATTTAATCAGATAAAATGATGTGTCCTTTACACATTTCTCCTATTAAAGCCTAAATATCTTGAAATTTCTATTTAGAAAATACTTTCCGAAGGTAGTCAAAAAATAATGTCAAATGTTCAAAGGGCTGGTAGATATTTATGGACTGAAAAGCTTTTCTAAAAAAACTTAGCAAGCACAATTTACACTTAACGGCCACAAGATCCACACACATCCTACAACAGAAAATTCAAGTACCAAACTAAGGGCTAGAAATGGCATGAAAGACGGTAAGAGATAAGGTCTGCATATTCTAAAAGTCACTATCTGGTTTCACCAAGACTGCCAAAAAATTTTAAATAAAAACCTATTCACTTTCATGGAACACTAAATTTGAAAATGTAAAAGAACATTAAAACTTCTACAGAGAAATTTCAAAATTACTGCAGTCAGTCTATACAAAAAGCTCTTAAATAAACAAAATAATGCATTAATGAAGAGCTCACCCGTTTTAAAATTTTGACCTTGTGCTTCACTGTATCATCTATATATTTGGTTCTATCATTTGCTGTGTGTTTTGATAATCCAAGCTTTTCACACTCCATTGTTTTATCTTCACTATGGAATTCAACTGTAGCTTGGTTTTCCAAAGTATCTGGATCTAATATTTCAGTCTTTTTGTCTTCTTCAGCACAACATTTTACACAGACATATTCTTTGTCTTCCTCGCCCATCTGTTGTGCTTGAGAAAGACTTAACCCAACACAATCACCATGAAACCAGTCATCACATCTCCCACAGCCAACCATAAACCTGGAAAACAGAACACCAAAAAACTTTTATCCCTTTTTTTAACAAGAAAATCTATGTCAAAAATGAGGCTAAATTAAATTTTCAATATTTGATTTCTGAAACTTTGCATGTTTTCCATCTCTATCCATTCCATAAGTTCAACATACAGCAAGTTTTCAAAGAAAATAATATTCCATTAAAATGATACCTTTAAGACCTCAAATATTTCTCCTCTGGTATGAATGGGAAAATGCTGGGGGAGGGAGGGGCAATAAACCATCAGGAAGAAAAGACAACTGGCCTTTGTCAGTCTTGAATACTACAAAGAATAACAAAGTATAGACTAACAATAAACTTCTCCACTGAGAAGGGTGATAAAATCTTGGTAATAATTTCATCACAGACAATCCATCAACATTACAGCTACCTACCCCACCACAGACGTGAAATCATACATAAAATTGGGAAGAACTGTTTATCCAACGAATCGTTTTAAATAAAAAACTCCCCACCACAGACGTGAAATCATACATAAAATTGGGAAGAACTGTTTATCCAACGAATCGTTTTAAATAAAAAACAATAGCAACAGAAACAGAACTCAAAAGCTAGCATGATGAAGCCTCTCAAACTGTTTATTAGTCATCTTACCCAGATAACCTCAAAATATCCTGGTTCATGGTGTCACGCTGATTCAGCTAAAGAATATTTTTCTGTACTTTTAAGTTCAAAGGACTTCCTTACTAATTACCATGTGTTTTAGATTTGTTTTTCCAAATAAAGATCACTATTCTATCTTAACATAAAAATATTAGTACTTGGGTCAGATTTAATTCCCAATTTTTTTTTTTTTTGAGACGGAGTCTGGCTCTGTTGCCCAGGCTGGAGTGCAGGGGCCGGATCTCAGCTCACTGCAAGCCCCGCCTCCCGGGTTCACGCCATTCTCCTGCCTCAGCCTCCCGAGTAGCTGGGACTATAGGGGCCCGCCACCTCGCCCAGCTAATTTTTTTTGTATTTTAGTAGAGACGGGGTTTCACCGTGTTAGCCAGGATGGTCTCGATCTCCTGAACTCGTGATCCGCCCGTCTCGGCCTCCCAAAGTGCCAATTTTCTTATAAAAGTTTTCCCATCATTGTCTTTTAGCTAAATAATAACTTCACTAACCGATAGGTCAAGTCCAGGGATGTGAGATGTATGACTCTAAAAAAGCTTCCATCTTCTCAGTTTAAAAGGAGTATCTATAACTACCTTTGAAAATAATGGCAAATGAGATACATACACAGTGATTTAATTTACGTGCTTTTTAACCCATTGTTAGGAAAGCTGCAATGCTCATTTCAGACATCCATCCTTAACTTTGCCCTTTTTTTCTTCAGGCTAGCAATTTATGACACAGATGAAAGACTTAGGATTTAGGTAAATACTTTAACAATCTAAAGACCGTGCTGCTGATTTTAATAGTGGCACCACCAACAGTGCCAAACTCCTTTCAAAAAGCTGTAGTCCAAGAGAGAGGATATTGAAAGTAACACACTGGGTGATATGGCCAACTCAAAATATATCAGAGGTACTGTTTTAATGTTAGAACTGTAAAAACTACAACAGTGAGTTCCAATCCTTAGTGTTTTTAAAGTCTTGCCAAATACCTCACTCCTCAATAGCAGCACTTCCTTTTCTTCTTCCTCATGTGCTTATTGTGTATAAAACCACTACTATGCCTTGAGACTTGACTTCATCACATCTCTAATTTATCATTCTTTATCCTTGCTGGTAATGCCTGTGCTAGCTTTAGCAGGTTAAGTCCTCATCTCCCTAGGGATTAATTTGATTTGAAAAAAATAATACAGAATATTTGGGGTTGACAAGCAAGGAAACTTTCGAACAATGTAACATATGTTTGGAAGACAGAAGTAATTCCTACAGGTTTGAGATTTTTGATGGGCCCGTAACGATACAGATATTCTAGCAAAAGGGGAAAAACAGTTTGAAATGCAGGTGTTTAAAAGTTCTCCCACTTCAGGTTGCAAAGTTAAGATATTAAAGATGATTATTTGTAATGAGCATGGTAAATTTCCTAACAATGGGTTAACTGCTATTTCTGGAAAGCAACTGTCTAACATGAATGTTTCTGAAATGCTGAAGGAAAGCTAGTAATTTCCCTTTACTTCCATAATTAAAGGTATATTAAGATTTCTTCAAAGCAAGTCTGGGATAGTTTCAGTGAGACAAGACTTAAAAACCTACAGTACAAATCATGCTATTGTCCCAAATCCAAACCTAAAGGTCAAAATATAAAGCACATATCAAGGAATTTTCACATTTTTATTTGACAACCAGGCAAGAGTGGTTTGATGATCGTGAAATTTATCAAGCAACTATTTCAATGAGCCTCATTTCAAGTTTACTTTGGAAATGTCTCATTCAAACTTGAGAGGCTATGAAAAGCAAAACTCTAGTGCCATCTACAGATATATCTTAATAGTTTATATTACAGTTTAAAAAATGCAGTTATATAAAATTTTCTGAGAAATCAAGAAAAAAATGGTATCAACAGAAACAATTTCCACGTCCTAGAGATAAATTCACTTGAAAATGAAATTGATAACCAAAAATGTCCTATATGGATCACTTTAAGGTCTAAAACATGGAAGTACTAAGAACATTTTAAACCACATTTAAAAAAACAGAAAAGATGGCCTATCACATAAAGAGAATATATTTTCTTTCCTTTTCATGCTGTTGCTCTACTTTAAAAACATGGGAATGTGGGGAGTATGGAGTAAGGGAGAGAGTAGCTAGAGTGGTTGTAACTAACAATTACTCTACCACTTTCTGCCCTGTCCTTAAATTTCTAATTACCAAGAGGAAAGAAGGAAAAGGCTACACCCTAGATGTTAAATCTTTTACTATAAAATCAGTGTTGTGTGGAGTTTAGCTGTGGATCAATTAACTAGACCAAGTCAGTATGAATCATTTAATTGGAAGAGTTATAAGCAATATTTATGCTGTCTTCCTACTGTCACATGTTCACATACAATAAACTAAAAAAACTAAACTAGACCTACTAAAGAGAATTAAAAACTATTATCTTTTTGGCATGAGCAAAATTTTCAAGTTTCTTCAAAGTTAAACTACAGAGATAGCATCGAGAACTCCTCTCTTAACAAATTCATCATAAATTCACTAACATCGTAGGCATTTCAAGATGGGCCTCCAGTTCTGGTGTTCCCTTTTAAGTAACAGACTAGACCATGTTACTGTGTGTGTGTGAGAGACAGAGACTGACTCACTCTTCTAAGATGAAAAAATTCTATTTCACATAAACATTAAATCATTTTTGTTACTAACAATCTGCAGAGAAAAGCAGAATTATTTGTTCTAGAAGTTTCTTCTCAGCAGTTTTCTTGTTTGAAAGCTATAAATCCATTTTCTGTTTGTTTTTTAAATATTATCTGATATACTAGTCTTCTACAATTGGGGCCAAGGAAGTGTAATGCAAGCTAAAAACTCAACCATCTTCTGGAGAAGTAGAAAAATAGAAACCACAAGGTAAATAATATGAAAAAACTAAGACTTCCTCCTTACAAAATGCCAACTGACTTACGTTTAAAAGAAGTTCAAAAATTGTATTAATTTAAAAATTAGAGGATTAAATAATCTGGTGTTTAAAATCATATATCTTTGGTGTAAGTTTGAATCATAAAAATAAATGGAAGCAACAAAAACCTAGCATGATATGTTGCCTCTTTAAGGATCTACTGTCTTTAGGATATGTATAGAAGTTGCTTATGATTAATATCACATCTAGCCATGACACAGCTATATTACAAAATATAATTTCCAACTGGGAGCACACACAAGGAAGCTAACTTCAACTGCAATATGTAAAAAAAATGATAACGCATTAATATAGTCTTCACAGAAGCAAAGCTGTTTCAAGTGATAGAAAATGTGTCATATTAACAAACAGCTTTCAATGTATCTAGTGCATGAAATCAAAGAGAAGGATCAAAATTATTTCCAAATATGCCCTTTCTAATAAATTTATATTCTTACACAAGGATTAAAATAGGAAAATTACAAGCTGCATGACAGGTACATTTTTTGAGGTAAACAAAATGTATACAAGCACAATGTATAAAAGTAGTAGGATCACAGTAGTAGTGAAGGCTAGTTAATACGTAAAAACAACAATCAGCTGGGCACCATGGCTTGTGCCTGTAATCCCAGCACTTTGGGAGGCTGAGGTGGGCAGATCACCTGAGGCCAGGAGTTCAAGACCAGCCTGGTCAACATGTAGAGAAACCCCATCTCTACAAATATACGAAATAAGCCGGGCATGGTGGCGCTTGCCTGTAATCCCAGCTACTTGGGAGGCTGAGGCAGGAGAATCGCTTGAACTCAGGAGGTGGAGTTTGCAGTCAGCCAAGATCACCCCACTGCACTCCAGCCTGGGCAACAGTGAGACTTCATCTCAAAAAAAAAAAAAAAAAAAAAAGGAAAAGAAAAAAACAATTATACAGGCTTTTTTTATTCACAAAACTGAAGTAATAAAAAATGCTGCTTTCAAAATTGTTTCCAATGTTAACATATATTATTCACATCAATTACAGAGTGTAAACCCAAAATCTCTATGCACCTAACATTCTAAGTCATTCTACAGACTGAAGCAAAAACACTCTAGATTCTATACAGTAGATCCAAAAGGTGGCAGCAGGTAAACAACAACAACAAAGGGACTAACACCTACTCTTCAATTTAGGAAAATGATTAAACGTTGATGAAGCAAGAGTCATCATTAAAAAGCCTGGGTGAACTCCTGAAGACTGGACTGGAAGTTTATCTACAAGGTTAGTAAGTTACATTATAACTTACTAACATGGCTTCCAACTCTATGCCAAAGTTTCACTTTAGAAATTCATTTACTTAAGGAACCTATTCCATCTCTCTGCCCACGTGACAGTATGATAATTTTTTAAATATTCTGGCAGAAAGAAAAAGGCTAGTTTAAAGGAGCACTTAAAAGTACCACCTAACTCTTCATTCGTCGCCTGAAAACAGCAGGCCCACTTCAGAACATTTGAGTAAGGTGTTTATTTATTTATGGAAACAGAGTCTCACACTTTGTCACCAGCTGGAGTGCAGTGGCTCGATCTCGGCTCACTGCAACCTCCATTTCTCAGGTTCAAGTGGTTTCATGCCTCAGTCTCCCACATAGCTGGGATTACAGGCATGCAAGAGCATGCCCAGCTAACTTTTGTATTTTTAGTAGACACGGGGTTTCACCATGTTGGCCAGGCTGGTCTCAAACTCCTGACCTCAAGTCATCTGCCTACCGCCCACCTCAGCCTCCCAAAGTGCTAGATTACAGGCGTGCACCACTGCGCCCGGCCAAGTAAGGTGTTTTAAAGAAAAAAACATATAATTAAGAGCATGTAAGTGACAGTGAATGTAGCACTGTATTCAAACAAGTGACAGCTTTTAAAAACTGGAATATACTGTTATAAACTAACCCTTGACGCTAAAAACAGACCATGGGCTGGATCACAAATGAAGAAATACTTTGCCATAAAACTTACACAATGGCCCCAACATCTCCTTTCCAAACTCCCCAATCACCCTATCACCACCAAAATAGTAACACACTTTACTAAATTGTCCCTCCCTAAAGAGTTTCATTTTTATGTACTAAGATAGTGCTGGGAAAAATCACTCTAACAGTTTCATGAATAAGGATAGTAAGAAAATAATATACAAATTATAATGTAATTTTATCATATCAGCATTGAAAGAAGTTCCAACAGCAATATGAACACTTGAACAGAATAATCTTGTAGCTGCAAACTCCACTTCATCTCTTGCTTTCCTTTTCTTAAAAAGCTAACACGCCGGGCGCGGTGGCTCAAGCCTGTAATCCCAGCACTTTGGGAGGCCAAGACAGGCAGATCACGAGGTCAGGAGATCGAGACCATCCTGGCTAACACGGTGAAACCCCGTCTCTACTAAAAATACAAAAAACTAGCCGGGCGAGGTGGCGGGCGCCTGTAGTCCCAGCTACTTGGGAGGCTGAGGCAGGAGAATGGCGTGAACCCGGGAGGCGGAGCTTGCAGTGAGCTGAGATCTGGCCACTGCACTCCAGCCCGGGCGACAGAGCGAGACTCTGTCTCAAAAAAAAAAAAAAAACAAGCTAACAAAAAACACATTGGGGATTGAGGGGCGCAGTGTCATAAAACTACAAATCACTGAATACTAGAATGATGAAAATCAGTGCTAAAATCATCTCTAAAATTTTAAGAGATTAGAATTTACAAAAAAATTATTTAAAACATTCAAAAAAAGAAATGCATGTTTTCACTCTACTCCATGTTGACCTGGGTAATCTAACAATTGTTTAGCTATCAAATTTCACTGCAAGATAAAGTTTGATAGTTATGAAATGATAGTGTTAGGTCTTTAATGTGTTTCATTTTAAGAAAAAAAAAACTTCAAAAGAAAAATAAAATTTCCATTATGACCTTCATACTTTATTACTATTTCTTCTCACATCAAATAAAATAATATATAACTTAGACCCAAAGCAGTGTAACAATTTTCTAATTACCAGGAAGCATTTGGCTTTTTTGCAGATGCAGTGGCTAAATTACACTGTTTAACCTGTGACAATAACAAAGTATTTCCATGTATGTCAGCTGTTGGCCAGACTATGTTTTTTTAAATGTTCTAGGATGATACATTTGTAAATTCAGTAGATCCATCTATCATTTATCCAAGACTGATGAAGTTTTTTGTTTTTGCACAGGTCTGTGTATCAAATAATGTCTTTAAAACAATTCTCACATTAACCCCACCCCCCCAAAAAACAATTTCTCTTCAATGTACACATCACTCATACACACATACACACACACCTGTTGCCATGGGGTTTTTTGCAAAACCCACACTGCTTGCTGGGAGTCCACATATATTTGCTTTCAAATGAGGAGCTATGATCAGAGCCTTCTCTTTTTATGGTAGCTATGTTATCTGGAATGAACAATGGTGGCTCATCTAAAGAAAAACTTCTGCTGCTTCTTCTCTGGCGGGGTTGTAGGTTCTTCTCAGGTTTTTTCAGTTTCAGTTTATCCTCTTCCTTAAAATGTTCAATGCCTGGGTGTTCAAGCTCTTCCTTCACGTGACTATTGGTTTTCATTGCTAGGGCCTGTTGCTGAGGCTTATGAAACTGTTTCTGGCTGGAATGTGATACATGTCCAGTTTGTGCAGGATGATGAGGTTCTTTCAAGCAACCAGGATGAGCATGTGACTTATCACTCAAAGAATGAGTTAAGGGCTTGAAAATTTGTACTACAGTTTGGTCCTGTAATGTTTTTTTCAATACAGAATGAGCTTGGTTTTTCACAGATTTAACCCCAGAATTGCAACTCTGAATCTTTGGCTCCTTATCAATTTGTTTTTTTCTGACTTTGACTGGCCTATGAAAATTTTGCTGAGATTCTGGTTCATCAGTATTTCGTTTCACACTTTTGACATTAACTTTAGTTTTGCTATGCATTACTTCATACTTTGCTGCAACAATTTTCTTCGGAGTATCTGTGGTCATGTTTTGCTTAGAATGAATTACAGGTTTTGGATGTCTGGATTTTACACTTTTTGACTCTAAGTAAGAAACGCTACTTGACTGGCTGTTTCTGTCATCCTGAAGGTTTGCTGTTTCATGTGACTCTATTTTAGTACTTTCTATAGCATTCAACTGTTTTGAATTTTGGTCAGGCACATCACAAATAGCATTTTCCAAAATATTACTTTCTGGTTCAAAAGTACTAGTATCAACCACCTCTAAGTTTGATTTATTAAACTCAGGGTTCTCCAACTGTCTATTAGACTTTGCATCTTCACAATAACCCAATGGTTCAATTTTATCTCTTTCAAAGGTGTTCTCAGTTTTATCAGCAATATCCATGGTATCCCTCAATTCCAAATTACACTCAGTCACTTCATCCACACAACTAGGCAAACCTACAAGGCTATTTTCTGTCTTATTTGGATTTGTACAAGCAGCATCACCAGAACTATCAGAAGATCCAGGGTCTTCAAGAATATGGTCATCTTCATGGGATAATTTTACTGTCTCCTTTGATTCTTGTTCAACTTTTCTTGTTGCTATCATTTCTTCAACAACAGTCTCATCTGTTTTACCTGAAATGGAATCATTCTGTTCATGTTCTTCTTTATCTGAAAACTTAAACAATGGGCTACCAACAGGCTTGGCTTTACATTCCATCAGAGCTTCATTTTTCTTTTCTCCAATAGTAACACAAGTCTCTGAAAGAAGTGAACAAGTTAATTCATGAGATGGTACATCTGCTTCTCCCTGATTATTACACTTATGCTTAGAATCTAATCCATCTTCATCCTTCATTTCAAGACAAGATGACACTGAAGAATGACTTGAAGACACTGATACCTCAGGTACCACTTCAATTTGTCCACTATTTCGGCTGCTCCTTCTATTCTCCTTATGGTACTCAGGTTTCAGTGGCGTACAAACTTCTTCTTTAACCTGACTCCTTTCTGGCTGTTTCACTCCTGCTTTAGGGGTAGATACAGTCTTCCCAGATGGTTTTTTTGTGTTACTTAATGGTGCTGCATTTGAACGCTTGGCAATAGTGCTCTGCCGCAAACTTCTTACTTGTTCTATCACAGGGGAAAAAAAATAAATAAAAATACTTAGCTATTTTGTCATGTGTTTTTATTTCAGTACAATTTAGAATATATCACTTCTTTATCCTGAGCTATAATTTTCTCAACAAAAATGTATTGAACAGTACTCATAATGGTGATATTATATATATACATATATGTAATTTAACAAATGTCATATTTTATATTTATCAAACTTCTCTGAATTCTAGCAGGGGGAAAAGCCCCTAAAAAATTCAGACTAATATTATACCTTATTAAAAGAAATGTTTTCATCAAATCTCTTTTCCATAGAAAGTAACCTAGGGTGAAGTAAGTAAAATGAGCTTCCTTTACCATTCATGCCCATATTAAAGCAAGACCATCATGCATTGTTAAACATTAAATATTTCTAAATATATAAAACCAAATAAATTCCAGTGCTAATGAAATCTGAACTAAAAACCTCCTATCACAAAACAGGATCTGTGCGAGTTTCAAAATACAGCCTCAAACAGATTCTAATTCCTTTATCAATCTGCTTCCCTTCGGTCTCCATTTTAGCATTAAAGCTATTCCTAAGAAATGACATCTACACAGAGTACCACACACAGTTCATCAAAAAAGAAACACAATTTAAAAGATTTACACCAAGAAAATATATCGTAAGTATGAAAATAATGTAAAAGCTTCCCACACAATGCTCCTATTAGTCTATTAAATGACAGAGTCTCCTTTCCCTATTCTGATACATCCCCTTCTATCAGGAGAAAGGAGAAACATGAAGACAGCTAAAAAGAAATAATTCACTAAGTACAAAAACAACCCACAAACTGAATTTGTCATTTATCACTGAACTGTGAGAATCTTTAAAAAGGTAAATGTCCAGGGCTGCTTGTAGTTCTGATCTAATATTAATAGCACATTTTCATTCTCAAAAGTATGCCTAATTTGAACAATAAATTATATAGTCACCCTAATCTTACAGACCCTTTCTAATTCCCATAGGACTCAACAAAGTATCTGAGTATTAGGTTAAGTACTTAACAATGTTTAAAAATTACTTGGTGGATTATGAACTATTTATCACATGTTCACAGTTACATAATTTTTTTAAATAACTAAAATTTTAATAAAGCTTTGTTTCAATATTTAGGTGATTTTTAAAGCTTTAAAGACAGATTATAGTAATTTACAGCTCTACTTTATTCATCCTTGAAATGAAACAAATGAAAGATTTTAACACTCATTACACATTAATAAATAAAGATCTTTTAACACCCAAGCGGTTGCTAAAAATGACAAAAGAATAGTATATTCAACTATGAAGGATATTCAGATAAAAAAAAGGCTTTCCAATAGTAAGCAAATTATTAAGCAAAGGCTAAAGTCACTTTTTCTCCTCTAAATATTACCTTCCTTAGTTTGAAGCCTGATTCTATAGGCAAAAAAAAATTTATTTTCCTAAAATGTTTATTCTATTCTTTTCATTTCTCAAAGTCACAAGTATATACCAAATAACTAATTTTGAAAATGTATTAAAAACACAGATCAAAGAAAAGATGATGAAATAAATACATGCATCTAAATTTATTCATTTCTCAAAAACCTACTGAGGCTGTAACAGCAGGATCTTTTTTAAAAAATCCAAAAGGCAAGGAAGAATAAGAGAGGAAAAACCAGCAGCAAATTTTGGAAACTAAACAAGAGATGATTACCAAGTAACTCATATAAGATACCCAAAAGTAATAAACACTAGGCTGGCAGTGTTGGCAAAAACTAACATCATTAACACCTCAAAAACCTTAAGACTTGGTGGTCCCAGATGATTCTAAAGTGGGAATGAAGACAGATGTTTAATACTTAGAAGGGTTGAAAGCTCTTTAAAAGCAGCAGTTAGATTTCTAGATCCCTCTTTCCCCTACTCCATTTGTTGGGCAACTGCCCTTCCCTGGTCCTGAGCCAAACCTCGTAGCTTATTCTCTGGAGATAGTAAAGCAAGGTTTCTAGGCTGAAGAACATGAGGCACAGTAGAGACTGGCTGTAAAGTACACTGAAATTTGTAAGATTAAGTGAATCTGTATACACTGAAAGCTGAGAAACCCCAGTCAGTCTCCCTTACGGGTTTCCATAATATGCTAGCAATCTAATAAGTTACGGAAAATAACCTAAATTCTGATATGAAGGGTTCTGCCAAATAACAGTACAGCCAGATTGTTATACACTGACGCTCATAGCTGGTAAAACCCAATCTCCACACTTAGAAGTTTTATAATTTTAGTTCCCTATCCTTAAACATGAGCAATAATCAAGGGTCAGACATTTCAGGAAAGCATCTAGGAAAGATAGAGGCCAAAACCTTTTTAAAAATTTGTTTACAATAATGCAACATGGAGAATTCAGAAACTATGAAAGGAGACAAAAACTATTTAAAACGCCATTAGTATACTGCTTAATAAAGACAAAAGAAAATACTATATCCATGAAACATGAATAGAACACTACAGAAAGGACCATTCTCAAAACAACAAAGGGAACATTTAAGACTCAAAAGTACAAAACTTGACTGAAAAGTTGGAGGATAAATACGAAAAAATTTAAGCACGTAAAAGAAAAATTACAAAGAGGTGGGAAGCAGGCAAAATAAAGAAAACAGAGGGACCAGTACCTGTTATGTAAAAAATAATAAAGTTTACAGAAACCAAGAACAAAATAAAGAGAGGAATTAACAATAATTTGAAAAATTTTCCCAGAATTGAACGATAACATTTTTCGGACTAAGAGGATCTACTGAGTGTCTTGAGCTCCACACACAAAATACACCAAAACCAATACACATCATCATGAAATATCAAAACACCAAAGCTGAAGAGAAAGATTCCCAAACTTCCAGAAGAAATCAGGTAACATACACTCCTACACACACATACACACAAACACACACCCACCCATCAAAATAAACTTCTCAACAACCCTGAAGTTAGAAAAAAATGGAGCAACACCTTCAGAATTTCTGAAGGAAAATGATTTCCAACCTTGAATTTTAAGTCCAACCAGACCATGATTCCAGTATGAGACCAGACTAAATACAAGGTAAACATACAAGGTTTAAAAAGTGTATCTCACGGCTCCTTTTTCTCACAAAACTACTGAAAAAGGTACATCACCAAAATAAAAAAGTTGAATCCAAAAAGAGGAAACAGGAACTATAACAAAAGCACAAAGCACAGACTTTCAGAAAAATGGTTAAGGGAGATCCCTGAACAGTTCTGCATCAGGCTCATAGGACTAACAAGAGTCTGTCTACATAAGAGGGAATCAGAAGGCTCCAAGAGGTATTTTCAATAAAATGGATATGACAGAATACTGAAATACACAAATATCTTTAAGGTATTTGTGTATTTAGTCAACTGGTTAGAGCCAGTTTTAGTATAACTGCCAGTATGTACACACTAACACAACTAAGAAACTAAAAAACAAATCAGAAAAACAAGTTATACAGAAAGTAACTGTAGTTTCTTTTTTTTTTTTTTTTTTTTGAGACGGAGTCTAGCTCCTGTCACCAGGCTGGAGTGCGGGGCCGGTATCTCAGCTTCACTGCAAGCTCCGCCTCCCAGGTTTACACCATTCTCCCAGTTTACCACCATTCTCCTTGCTCAGCCCTCCCGAGTAGCTGGGCTACAGGGCGGTGCCCCACTTCGCGCCGGCTATTTTTTGTATTTTTTAGTAGAGGACGGGTTTCCACCGTGGTTACCAGGATGGTCTCGATCTTCTGGACCTTGTGACTCTGGCGCCGTCTCCGGCCTCTCCAAATGCTGGGATTACAGTGCTTGAGGCCCAGCCGGCGCGGCCGTAACTGTACGTCTTAAATGGATTCATTCCATAACAGGCATATTATCATAGTAACATAATTACCATCGATCTAACAAAATTATATAGTGGAAAAATGGAAAAGACGTTCTTTTTTGTGATGAGAACAAGTAGTAGGAAGAAAATCATCCAGAGTGGAAAGTCAATAGATGGATGAATAATAAATCAGAATAATCAAAAAACAGCAACATATGCATGTTACCTAGAGATATAAAGGTAAATACCGAAAACAACAGCAACAAAAAAAAATTAAACCGATGGGCGGAGCAAGATGGCCGAATAGGAACAGCTCCAGTCTCCAGCTCCCAGCGCGAGCAACACAGAAGACAGGTGATTTCTGCATTTTCAACTGAGGCACCATAAAAATGGATATTTGTGTCCTTTGTAGGGCACATTGGAATGACAGCTAAAACCATCATTCTCAGCAACTACGGCAACGCAACCCGGTCCCTCTTAGATGGAGTATGAACAATTGAGAATCACTTAGATTCGAGAAAGGGAATCACAGGCACCAGGGCCTATCAACGGGGAGCGGGGGGGGAGGGAATTGCATTGGAGTTATACCTGATGTAAATGACGAGTTGATGGTGTCTGACCAGTTCATGGGTCAGCACACCAATTGGCACAAGTATGACAGATGTAAAACCCTGCACGTTATGCACATGCACCCCTAGAACATTAAAGTATAATAATAAATAATTATATATAACAAAAAAC